TCTGTTCTTAAATTTCTTTACATCGCGGCATGATGTGTTGCTTTTTGAGATCTTTTAGCCTACTTCACTTTGTCAGACAGGTTCTATTTAAGTAATTTCTTGATTCAATGTCTGGTAGTAATCAGGCCTGGTTGTTTTTCACATAGGGCCAGGTAGGTTTGGATAGCTTTTTTTTTCCCTTAATAAATAAAATCTTATTTAAAAAAAAAAAAAAAACCCTGCATTTTGTATTTACTCTGTCTAATATTAAAATTGGTTTGACGATCTGTGTGACAAATATGCAAACAATAAGAAATCAGGAAGGGGCAAATACTTTTTCACAGTACTGTAAGTAGAGAGCTGCACTGTTAATATTTATCAGAATTACAATCATACAGTAAGAGTGGTGAGTGCAAAATAAAAACTTGTTGAAAAAAAAACAGACTTTATTTAATAATCAAACCCCAAAAAGTCAGTAACACACCCCTTTCCCCTCTTCCAGTTGTGCATTTCATACACTTTTTGACAGCAAATTCACATTCCATTCTGACATATGTAACCATGTCCATCTCCAACAAACTATGTGTCCCTAATGTTGGCTGTTTTTATTATCTAAGAACAATTAGACCCTATGTGCAGAGACCACGTTCCTACCTCTTAGGTTCATAGAAAAAGAGCATTGTTTCAGCTAGATGCCATGTTGGACATCTCCACACTGCTGTTACTTTGTCATTTTGATATTTTGGAGATACAGTTTTCACTGTACAACTGCTATATGATAATTACGATGATAGCATCTCAGTTAAAAATCAAATATGTATGTCAATAAAACAAAGAGTGCAAAGGATCATCAGTATCATCTGTATTCACATACACAGTATATGAGTACACGCTGTATTTGATTTTGTGTGTCTGTGTGGATGTGGACGTGCAGGGTCCATGATAGTCAGAACCTTTCACTGACTTTACTTTCTGTCCCACCCCGATCCCCAAAACCCCTGTAACCAAATTCTCCACAGTAGTGAAATATAAACCCAAATGAGCTTCTGGCAGCTCATCAAAGTTCATCATGTCTCTTTGTTAAATCTTCCCCGTAATTGGTCGCCTGGCTGCCCACAAACATGTTCCAGTTGGCCAGAATCTCCTTCTTGGTTATTTTCTCGTCCTGTTGTTGGATCAGCAGATTCCATCCAACATTGGTTATGATTGAAAGAAAGAAAAGGGAGGAGGAGGAGGAGGAGAAGGAAAAGGAGGAGGAGGAGATCATGGGGTGATGAAAAACAGGCGCACAGAAAGAAACAGAGAGAAGCTTGTTAATAATGAACCCACAATTATGGCAATTATTTACACTATGTTAACAAATATAATTGACAGGACAGAAAAGAGATGGGCTGTCTACCTATCTTTAGGTTGTGGACAAAAGACATTTGAGGACGTCACCTTGGGCTTTGGGGAAACAATTTTTTTTACCATTTTCTGACATTTTCAGGACAAAACAACTAACTGATTAAAGCTGCAGTAGGTAACTTGTAAAAATAACTTTTTTCTTGTCATCTTTTCTGAGAAAATCACTATATTCTGACAGTACTACATGAGACAGATAATAATTTTAAAAAAAATCTGCCTGGACAAAAACAACCAATCAAAGCCAAGATGCCTATTGCAGCTTCAATTGAGAAAATTATTGTTGTGGTGTCACTCAGGCTGCAATACGGTAAAAACATATTGTAATTATTTTGACAGATATGATTCACGATTAGTATGTTTTTATGTATGTATTAGTAGTTAGGGAATGATAATTTTGCATTACAAATAAAATTTTCACATATTTACAAAAGTTTTCAAAAGACTCCATAAAGCCTCAACTTGGCGGGTTTTAAGAGGTTTTATACATCCAAAGAATTTATGTAAAATCATTCAGACCAGGCCTCTAATTGAGACCTGTGTTTATTTTTCAAAACGTTTAATTCAAGTCAATTTTCAATCTTAATTGTGAAGCAAATTTGTAAAGGAGACTTGCTTCTAAATTTGACTGTAATTTGCTACCTTCCAGGAAATTCTTAAAGAGCCAGGGTATATGATTTAGCCTCATTTAGCAGTGAAGATGCAGATTGCAAGTGTGTAGGAGAAACCACAAAATATGCAAAAGGCCCGGCCAGCGTTGGTTTGTCCATTCTGGGCTACTGTACAAATAATCACAGCCCCACATGATCAACAGCTCATTCTAAGGTTACAAACCCATACAAATACTTATTTCAAGCCATAATGTTGCACACTCGACCTTTAATAAATAAAGTTTAGTGAAAAAATATGTTAGTGTGGTTCAGTTTCTGTGATGTCAGAGAACAGTGCCAGGTCTACCTTGTCGGTGTCTGTCTCGTGGATCAAGTGTTTGGCTTCATTATCAGCATGGTCTACCTCTCCCGGCAAAACCCAGTGGGCCACCTCACTACCATCCAGGAAGCCGTCCTGTATAACACACAGATGCATAACTGAGGAAGTGACAAACTGTAAGATAAAAAAAAATAGATCCCCTCCACATGTGAGAGCAGAAGAAAGGTAAAGCTTGAAAGTTGAGGAAGAACCAACTGTTCACATAACTTTTGCACTCTGCTGTTGACCAACCTGCTGTTGGTCATTACATATTCTACCCAAGCAGCAAACCCCGTGGTTGGCAAATTAAGCCAACACTGAAGTAACAAGAAGCAAAAAAACGCCTAAGCCAGCAGAGTCACAACTGCCTGTGGTCATCGAATCCTACAACGCCTCCCTCAGAGAGTCAGACATCCCCTCTCTGTAATCTGACCTCAAACACAGACAATCAGAAACTGCACAAGGTCACTGTACATATGGTCACTTACACATTGACATCTTACACATGGTCACTTTACACTTGCAATTTTGCACATTTTGCTCTGTACGTTCATCAAAACATTTCCCATTGTTTTCACATTAACCAAACTTTAATCAGTTTTGGTTACTTTCTTAACACAGCAACATGGGATTGTTTCAGTCCATGGTTAAAGGGAAAGTTGGACATGTGGAGACACCATAACTAGTAACAGTGTGGCGATTTACAACTTCCAAGCGGGAATGGACACATATGCAACAAACTGAGAACTGTAACAGTTTAAGCACTCCAACTGTGAATAGTTGAGCAGCTTTTACCTTGTTGGCATCTCTGATCTCTGAGAAATGTTTCCTCTCTGTCTGGACCCATTCAGGCTCACTCTCCCCATTCTCTGGTGTGTACATATCACCTGTGGAGCAGCAGCACACACACATTTAGAACAGAACGCTTCCAGGTTAGGGGGTAGCTGGTCAGAGAGAAAATGGGAGTGACGTACCAATGTATTCATCTAAGTTGATCTTGCCATCCCCGTTCTTATCAATGTCTTCCACAGTCTCCTAAATGATAAAATTATATATTATTATATATATCATTAGACATGGAGCAAAAACACACATTTGCATTTTATTTAGATGTGGCAATAGATGCCTTGATGCCTTAAAAAGCAATATAGCCAGTCTCTCAGTATTTTTGTTTGCCAACGGCATGGTCATAGTATCAATTATTTTTTTTTATTTTTTCCAAATCTTTTTATTGAGATTTTCCAACACAATGACATATAGTGGTATTTACCAGTGTGGGAAAAAAGCCATTTACAACAGTATGTCAACAAATACCAAAATGAACCCAAGTCCCACCGTACCCACCACCCACGCCACCCGAGCACAGAAGAGACGACTTATGAGAAAAAAGAGAGCGAAAAAAATGAAGGGGGGGAGGGGGGGGGGTCACGGAGAGATTGAGATGGCGACGGTTCGGCTATAATATCAATGTTCGTTATCCTCCAGCGCTCAGCGGAAGCTTGGAATTGTAGTGGAGCAGCACGTATGAGCTTCGCGACGTCCAATTTTCCTAGTCTTGTTCATGTATCAGTGAACAGAATACAGGAGATCTGAATAGTGTGTGGCGGAACCAGATGCATATCCGATGACATTCAGCTGGCAAAACAGCGTGAGAGGTGCAGTTTCTCTAGTCTCGTGATCTATGTTGGGCTTGGAGTGATTTGACCGAGCGAGAGTGGGTGCGTGAGGTGGTGGATGGGTCGGTGGTCGGTCGGAATGGTCGTGTGTGGTGGTGCGATAGAGCACTACAACAAAGCAAGGAAAGCTTCGTCCAATTCCTATAAAAAAGTAAAGTTGAAGAGGGTAGAAGTGGATTCCTGTCAAAAACTGACTCAAATGTGTGAGAGGCGGTAGCACGTTTTGTATGAGTCCGTGGTCGCGTCAGCTTAATTAGTGTGTGACAGAGCTAAATAGAGTGTAGACTGTGACTAGTCATTGCCAATTGGGTGGCAATCCAGTGCCAGGTAGATCGGCTGAGATACGTCACAATCAAGCGGCCGGGCGGAGTTGGTTCTGATCTATGTTCCAGCAGCTGTATCTTTGCGATCATGCTGATATTTAGGTTTGTATATGTATTTATTTCATTTGTTTATTGTGTTTCTCTATGTTGTGTTTGATTGTAGTAGTAGTTTGTATCCTTGACACTCATCATTCTTTCTTGTAATTGTCGATATATTATCTCTTTCTTCTAGGTTGTGTTATGAAGCGCTAGTATATACTCTGGTTCTAGCGCGTGGCGTTTATTTTTTCTCTATTTCTATTCTCATTTCTTTCTTGTCTAGCTGTCTTTAAGTTCTTTCTTTTCCTGTGTGTATGCATGTGGAATTTTCTTTTTGATTTTATGTGGCCTTGTTTGTTTCTTTATTATAGTTTTGTCGATTTACGATTGCCTTGATCGTGCAGATCTATATAGATGTATGTGTCGTGAGAAGCTTCTCTCTATATAGGATGTGGATTTCGCTGATATTTAGGTTTGAGGGTGGGATGAGATTTCGTGTGGTCGTGTGGGTGTTTTTTGCTGTTTTGGCTTTTCTATGTAGTTATGTTTGGTTATGTTTTTTTCTTTATCTGTCTTATTCGGACAGGGGAAGTGCCTGACTTTTCATGTGTTGGTGGTTTGTTGGTTGTGTGTTATGTTGTTCTTTCTTGGTTGTTTTATTTTTTTTATTCTTCTTTTGTTCTGTATTGTGTTGTTGGTTATGGTTATGGTATTTTTTATTTTATACTTTTTATTATCCATGTATTATGGATTTTTTTTCTTCTATCTATCTATCTCTTGAATCCTGGCCGTAAGTGTCTCTCTCCACCCTATCTTCTATTCTTGGTATCTTGTCGTTTAGTCGTTCAGTGTTGTTCAGCTTACTCCTAATTTTTGACCTCCTCTTTGCCTGTGTGCGTTTAATCCAGTTTGGTATGCATGTTTCTTTCCTGCTGGTTTATTTGGTGTCATGGTCTGTGATCGTTTTAGCTGTTAGTCTTCTTTATCGGTGGTGCTTTTTTTTTTTTTTTTTGGTTTTTGTTCATATTTTGCGTCCTATTTCATCATCTTTCTCCTTTATGGTGTTGAGATTAATTTAGTGTGTCTAGATTAAATATGAATAAAGATAACTATATAATAAAATCACGATAATTTAGGAAACTTTGAAGGATATTAGAACAGCGTTCTGCCCTATGGATCTTGTTAAATGCATGTTTGTCTGGCTAAGCAGTGTTATCAGTTTATGAAGAGCTGTCTTATGATTAGTATATAGTTATTCGTTTTTTTTGTTTTCTTTGCTCTTTCTTCAGGAGTATGCTGGTCAATAGGTCTTTTTGGCCTCTCTCGCCTCCCAGGAAGGTCCTCGGTTGATGGTCTATACTTGAAGCCTTTATTTTTTGATTGCATCTTATTTTCGTGTGCATTTGATTTTCACTTCAGATTTCAGCTTTTGGTGGTATTGGATGCCTTCTCGTGAGGCATTGGTACGGCAATAAACGGTTAAGGCCATGCCAGGAGCTATGAGGGGGGACTGCTAGTGACTTTTGCGAGGGCAGGCAGTTCTGATGTTGTGTATCTGGGGAGAGAGAGTAAGTGTGTTTGGAGAGAGAGAGAGTCGAATTGGATCTTAGTATAGAGTAGAGTCTAGAAGTTGGGAGCGTTATTTTGGGGGTTTTCTTTTTTGGTTCGTCCTAGAGACGCATCCAGACAGGGAATACAAATGTTTTGTTACGATAACCAGAAGCGACAGCGTTCCTAGCACTAGCGTAGCGGTATCGTGGGTGCCTGACACACACGGTGGAGGCTCCGCCAACGGTGCAGCAGAGCGCGTCAACAAAGTACTGGAGTAGAGCAGAGCGCTGGCATAACAAAAGACACGTTGTTTGTAGAGCAAAATTCAAGGTTAGCATCATTGACAATTGCTTTTTATATCTTATGACCTGAGAACGTACGTAAGAATAAGGGAACCGACTGACTGTCCACTGGGAGCAGGGAACTTCACAGCTCACAGGTGTTTCTTCAGAACCAATGAGCGTGTATTACATGGCATCATCCTGTTGCTGCTTTCTCCAGCGACGGACCACTGCGTCGAGCGGCCCCGGTCGGCGTGAGGCCGAAGAGGGGTCGTCGATGGAGAGATGACCTTGGGTTTTTTCCCCCGGCATGATAGTGGGGAAGCGGGCGAGCGCGCGGACAGACTGACGAACCCGGCAGAATCTGCAGTTCCGAAGGAGATCGGCGGTCTAGACCTGGCTCTAATTTGAAAAGTGTCCTGAGATACACTTCTGTTATGAATTGGCGCTATTACAAATGAGACGGAGTCATGTGATGAGATTGACCATGAGGTCTTTTCCTGGAGTCAGGCCACTTTTCGATTAATGTGGGTCCGATAACCAGGGATAGGCAGGTGATCATTCGTGATTGCAAGCGGTGTGACCTTGCGTGTGACTTAGTCGCACTCAAATTTGTGGACTTTTATTCGTACTCGGTACCGACGCTGGAGCCGCACTGTCGAGAGGTGGTGCACGGCGCGGTCTCAGAGGACGTGAGCCTGTTCACATGAAAGCAGAATATGGGCCGCCCATGGTTGGGCTTGCCAGGGTGTAAAAGTAGTAAGAGCACTAAGATACTCTGGACTGTGCGTCCTGCTCCTTTTTTTAGTTGTGTCGTCGCCGTACTTGGTGCCGATACCAACTTAGAAGCCAGCCAGAGTTGGGGCAGGACAGCGCAGGAGGTTACAGCGTCGGTAGCCGTCAGCTGTCTAGGAAAGTAGCAGTTAGCTCCTTATGATGGCATTGACCTTGGCCGTCCAGCACGCAGGGCGTCGGACGGATGCGGTAGCGTGGCAGGACAGATAGCATGTCCTTTAACTCCCAGCTTGAAGCAGAACCCTCGTATCACACCGACGTAATATTGCGAGGAAAGCTTTCAGATGCAGACTTCAGAAAACACTGTTTCCATGGCGATTTGGTGAGCTGTCGTCGGTAGGGGCTGCAGTACTGCAGACGGTCCTCTATCTGGCACTAATTGGCGATGCTTTACTGCATGGTGAACAATCGGACGGGGGGGGATTCCTTGGTAGTCGTAAGAGCTCTGGTATGAGCTTTCGCAATAGGAGTGAGATGGTAGGTAACAGTGGGTGGGGTACTATGGTTTGTAGTGGACGGGTTTTCTTCGAAATTTTGCCGATGTAGTTCCGGTGTAGGTAACATGTAGGTTCAAGTCTTGCCCGAGAGGAATCCGGGGCGCGGCGGGGTGAGAGATTACCGGTCTAGCGGTAGGATGCGGCCGCGGCGGTCGGTTACCGCAGAAAGAGTAGGCGGCGCGCGCTCTTGAGGTCTTGGGGGTGACTGTTCGAAAGAGTCGGTGAGGCCTGGGTTAGGCAGGTGCTGTTTGTCAGCACGCGATTAGCAGGAGGACGACACATTATGATTGTAACGGCCTGGGACGAGCGTGTCTGGCGAGCATGTGATTAGATAGGCTGAAAACGTCGTGGTAAAACAGGTCTGGCGATTAAGTGTGGTATGGTGCGGCTTGGATGTATACATTAATTTCTTTTGTAGAGAACGTATTGTTCCCACGTTGAAAAGGACAGCCTTTGGGCGTCGCTACTCAAGAAGAGTATCACAGACTCTACTGCGCGAGTCTGACGTCGATGCGAACTGCATTTTATTGTATCAGACCTCCCGTGAGGGTACATGGGCGAGGGAACGCGGCGTGTCGGTGTCGGGGTGCTGTGGGGTAGACGGCGGTGGAGGGTCGGTGGGGCCGGGTGCGTCGTGTGGGATGAGGGTATTGGAGAGGCCGGCCTCTACAAGAGAGTAATCACATGCGAGGTGCGGGCGGGTGCGTGCGGCGTATGGCTCAGGGTGTGCACCAACGTGCAAAGCTGAGGGTTTT